TTGAAAGTATAAAAAAGTAACGATAAGACGGCAAATTCGTTACCGTTAGTGCAAAAATGTAACGACGTTACTGTTACCATTACAGAGAGAAAAAAATAACGATCGTTACTGAAAAAAAGTAACGAAAATAGTAACGGCGTTACAAGTAACGCGTTACTTTTCAACCCTGGTTATTTCACTCCCGATGAAATCTGCAGTGTTATTAGTATCATTTTCTAATGCTTTTGACATTCTTTCAATTATTTTTTCTTGTAGCCATCTATCTCTTTTATATATTTTGATAAACTCATGCAACATTTCTTGTATTTTTTGCTTTATTTCATTAACGTACATCGCTTTATTTAATTCTGGTATATTTTTTCGTAGCGTATTTTCATGATTCCTTCGATCATCATTCGGCTCACTCCTATAAGAATCCGTAAGATATAATTTAAGTTAATTTTTATATTGGCGATTACGTTTCGAGCAATGATAATTTTAAATGACTTAATTACGACGTGGCGTGGGCCACTGGTGACCGGCATGAAATGTATTAATAAAATATTAATTATATTATAAAAATGTGAATACTCAGATTTTTGAGAATACAAATGTGAATACAAAACTTTTCTATTTAGTTCATCTTTCTCTACCTGTTAGAAACCGAATATATACAGTCAAACCTCAATAACTCGGAAGCCGACTCAAAAAACTTCGAAATTTTTATTTCTATACCCATTATAAATTATAAATTCTCGTACAAAGCTTCCGTAATTTTTACATATTAACTTTATTTTACTCGAACTTCGATAAGGCGAAACCTTTATTATAACTCGAAGATTTTTATAGCTGTTCCCTTGAGATTCGAGTTATCCGAGGTTCGACTGTATTAGTTTTTACTATTCAAGAGTACTTATACAATACATTGATATAATAACATTTTGCAATTTCAATTGTAACATTTTTTTTATTTTCAGATTATAAAATTGTTGAAACATGATAAACAAAATCGACTTTTCGAGTGTTTTAGTAAGTATATATTGAAGATTCTCATTTTTATACCTATCATGTACCCAATAGTGTCTCAGTAATGTAAATAGTTTTTGTTCAGTCCTTAATTCAAAGTCTACTACTGTGTCACACCATAACTTTGCCTTGCTGTCTTTTAACACGTACTTTATGTATATATTAACTGCACTATGCTTACTCCTTGTCGATTCATATAAATCTTTTTTTTTCACCGTGATATTGTTGCCAGTGGTTTTTTAATAATTTTAATTTTGTTTTTTAATTTTGTGCTCCACAAGTAAAATTAATCTTCTTTCGACACGCATTATATTTTGCAAAACAATATGTTCTATACCGAGTATCTCAAACTTTTCCAATAATTCCGAACGATTTAAGTGTGTGTCTAATTTCAATATTTTGTGGTCTTTGTATAAGTGAATTATAAAATAAAAAAATGTTTCTTCTTCGCCGCCTGATGTACATCTAAAATCACAATCACATCGACATAATAAGATATTAGGATCAGATTCAATTATTGTACGATGAGCGTTTAGCCATTGTCGATGCGGATCCATTTTCGTTACGCACACACAACCGTTTTATATCACGAATCACTTAATACTAAATGTATCCCGCGTGAAGAAAATCTGCTTTCTTCAAAATTGCTCTCAAGAAAGGTAAAAAAAACGTACATAGAACTTCTAGAAAGATAATATAAACTAAATATTGACATGTCTGTGTGTACTGACTCTCTAACTGA